GAAAGGATTTTTCGAAATGACCATCGGAGAATTAGTGTTTCATATATTATTATTAACACACTCTGATGCTAAGGAGTTCTACTCCTCTCCACCTGAAAATAAATCTGTCCCAAATGCAAAACACAAGCAGAGGAGAGGAGTTTCCGCTTCAGTTTTAGTTTCACAGCATCAAGCAGCTTTAGTACAGAACAGTTGACCTAAGCCATGCCCAGGCTCCTTGCTATGTCCTTCTTGCTCACACAGCAAATACTGTTTCAGTTTCCAAACAGCCCTCAACCCTCTCTGGCACACTGACAGGATGCTAGGCAGATGAATACCGATGGATGCTGGTAGGTAGAGGCAGAATTTTTTTTCCCTTATTTCCTCCCCAAAAACTAAGCCCGGCCACATAGTTTCGTAGTGAAGCACGGGTATCGAGCTAGTTTATAATGTGTTTATAATAATACATGAGCCATGGTGGCACAGTGGTTAGAGTGCAGTACTGCAGGCTACTTCTGCTGATTGTCAGCTGCCTGAAATTTGGCAGTTCGAATCCTACCAGGTGTTGTGGTTAGCTAGCAGCAGGTGTGGACAGCTGAGGAGAGCGAGGACTCAGATGAGAGGCCAGGACCATTAGGGAGTGGACTGCTGCCTTCAGAGATTGTGGAGGGTTGGCAGCAGTGATGAGGTGGTTCCCGAGAAGCCTGTGCCAAGTGCGCTTGCGTGCAGGATTGCTCGGAGGAAAGAGCAGTTACAACAGCACGGGCAACTCAGAAGTAAGGCTGCAAAACAATGGCCCCTCCCTCAAGAGGATAAAAGCCAGGTTTGAAGAAAGCGTTCTTTGCAGAAGGCAAAGACGCTCTGAAGCTCAGCCTCGTGGACATCATAGTCAGTATTTGCAAACTCTTGTAAATTAGTTCTTATCTCTGGGTTTTTGGCAGCCTTGACAAACAACTGGGCAAGGCTCTTTCTTGTTGGAGCTTATTAGCTGGAAGCAGCTTTTTATCTGTGAAGAAACGGGATTTTTAGCTGAAACTTAAAACAGATTATATTGCTGCCTTTGTGTTGTTGTTTGCTTTCTTGGAACCAAGTTTGGGTCAGAACACCAGGCTCAAGGTTGGCTCAGCCTTCCAAGGTGGAAAAAATGAGGTCCCAGATTGTTGAGGGTGGTGGTAATATGCTGACTCTGTAAACCACAAAGCGGGCTGTAAAGCACTGTGATGTGGTATATAAGTCTAAGTGCTATTGCTATTATGCTCCCACCCATTCTCAAGAACCTTTTCCAAATCAAAGCCAAAGCCAAATATTGTAAAGCTTAAATCCATGTATTGGCTTACAACAATAAACGGAAGTCCCAAAGGTGCCTTTTCAAAAGGCAACTGGACTTTGAAAAATAAAGTCCAGTTGCCTTTTGAAGAAGCACCTTTGGAACAAACCATGACTTGCATGACTGAGAATCTCTGCATAGTCAAATAAAGGGAAGTGTATTGGTGTATTGTTGAGGAAGAATCTAATCTCTACCACAAGGGAAGGGAAGAATACAGGGCTGGCATTGTGGCATTCCTGGAAAAGCCACCTGGGTTCATCCGATCCAGGTCCCATTGGAGAAATCCCTTTAAGTCTAGAGTCATGCAAAGTATACAGAGTTTGAAACACTGTATATGTGCATTGTTAGGAATATAAGTCACCTAACAGGTATTTGGGTTAGAAATATATAAACCAGGATAAACATTTTAGTACTATATCTTTAAGGGAATGCAAGAGCATGCAATTGGGTGTGGTTTCTCAAACAGCCATAAGATGGAGCCAGAAACCTGGGTTGTTTAGTCTGAGTCTCAGAAGAGAGTGTGAGTGTATCTCTGTTTCCTTCTGTTGGAAAGTATTGCCATTGCTCCATTTCTTCTAATTGACTGATATTACTGGATTTAAAGTAAGTCTGTTACTGAACTGTTTTTTCACACTGGACTTTGATATTTGGATTATCCCTGGATTGAAAAACTGACCGATTTACCTGTGAATGACTTTTGGACTGCTTATTTTGGACTTTGCTTAAACCTTTCTGGAAGTAAAAACCTACATTTACTGTACAGTGTATCTGTGTACTGAGTCTGTATTATTCCAACACTTCTCTCAAATACGTCTCCCTGTATGCGCTCATTCTCCTAATGGGGAATTACCACAACATGCATGCTGAATTGTGTGTAAGAGTTTTTCTTCTCCTGGTCCAGTTATGACTCTCTTCCATTAGGGATTTTAACTGCTCAGAATTGCTTGACAATTCAATAATGGCTATAAAAAATGGTTTGAGGTTAAAATATCCCCTTAGAAGTAAAATTAAAAAAAATTTCCCGGAGGTTCAAACAAACTGTTTGAATTTCACCAGAACCATTCTCATTGTCCTATTCTAGAAAGGTTCTTAGTTCAACATAGGACTTTGCTGGAAGATTGCAAAGTTGGGATAATCTATTCTAAACGCAAAACAAGGCACTTTGAACTTGAAACAGAGTCTTTTCAGCCCCAAATGTTTCAAATGTGGCACACTTTTAGAAAAACAAAACAAAACACCCCACTTTGAAATCCCTGAAGGAACCTGAAATTTGGCAGGATTCAACACAGGAGTGTATCTCAAATTGATGGCTTAAATTAATTCATTGCTATGAGTCTATTGAGGAAGAAACGTGTGTTTAGGTGAAAGTCCCTATCTAGGAATTAGTTTAGCTACAGAGCATCATCTGACACATGCAGAAAACTTTCATTCTTTCTGGACCTAAGTAGCTGTCTACTGAGTACAGCTGTGTCCCAATTTCTAGCCCAGGGATGTTTAATGGAAATGCCAAACAGGATCTATATGGGGGTCTTTTAGTCCGACCATCAAGACCAGAAGTGTTAAACTCAAGACCTGGAAACAGCAAAGGACCGGCCTCTGCCAGCGAAAATGGAGCTCTACCAGGGCTGCAGGAGGCCATTGCAGCCAAAAATGGAGCCGGGGGGGGGAACGCATGCCCCCCCCTGAGCTCCATTTTTGTTAACAGGGGGATGAAGGTCCGTCGTGGCCGAAAACGGAGCTCGGGAGTCTGTTTCTGCTAGAAGAGCACTCGGGACACCGTAGGTTCCCCCCAACATGAGTGATGTCATGCTGGACATGCCCACCATGGCCTCCCGAGGTCAAACACAACCGTGAGGCGGCCCTCAATGAAATCGAGTTTGACACCCCTGATTAAGACTCTTAAACTGTTTGGCAAATGGAACACATATGCATGCTTGACTGGTTCATACTTATGACCACTGCTATGCCCCCAAAGTCATGTGATCCTAGTTTGCAACCTTCTGACAAGCCAAGTCAATGGGGAAAGCCAGAGTCACTTAACCACCGTGATACTAATTTACAACTGCAGTGATTCGCTTAACAAATATGTCAAGGGAGGCTGTAAAAACGGGGCAAAACTCACTTAACAAATGTCTCACTTCCCAGAAATTCGGGACTCAATTATGATCGTAAGTCGAGGACTACCTGTAGTACATCCACTATGGCTCTTCAGATTATGGGTTCATCTCACTGAGAGATGAGTTCTACACACGGCAGTTCATCCCCAGTATATCAAGTCTCAACCGAACTATGACATGAAAAGTGTCCAGAAAGCACTCCAATCTGAACCACAGGTACACTGTGCAGAAAGTTAGCACCCACCCCTCTCCTCCAAGAATGAAATATTTTAGCATATATTAAAAAGGCAGAATATTATATTTCCCTGGGTGAGAAAAGGAGAAACATGTTTTTAAAGATGAAGAGCAGCGCCCTACAACCCAGCAGATAATTGGTGCACATTAAGACTGGGCCAGCCTAGCTACAAGACAGAAATCCTCCAGCTCCAGGGTGATGGGATTAAAACATGGCCCCTCAAGACATAATAGGATTAGCCTTCTACCCATCTAACAGCAGGGCTCACTGCATTGCAAAATCACCTGGGGACATTACATCAGCCCGAGGTTCCAGCAGACTTGACTCAGACAAACATGACTCCACACGGGAGTTTGACTACAGCCAATAGAACACATGCTCTTGCCACAGGAACAGGAAGCTCAAGGGCAAGGCCCAAGAGCTGCCCAGGACCTAAAACCCACGTGGTCCTGTCCATAAATAAATCATCTGTCCCATCAGCCTCCATGTTTCCAGGGTGTTTCTCCCCACTTGGAACTGAACCCAAATGGCTATTTCTTCCAACAGATTTCATGGGCACTCCCCACTACCTATCTGCAGCAGAGGGAAATATGAGGCAAATACGGTCGTGCAATATTAATGTATTTCCTTCATTACACACACACAACATTCTTAGTATAAATCGCCGAGGAACAAGATTAATGTACATGACTGCTTGTGGTCTTCTTCTTAGCCACTATGAGAACATAATGCAGCCTTATGCCTGCCTATTCCTATTCAAGTATATATCATCTTAATTTGGAGGAGTGGAGACATTGGAGAGAGGCAGCATAAAAATTTCAGCATAACTGCATTGTAAGAGATTCCAAGGTTAGGCGTGGTCACAACAGGCTGTTTAATGACTGTTCACACAAAAGGTGCTTTGTGACCAATAAATACCCTGAGCCCTTATAAAATTGTTTGCCTCTTCCATGGTCATATGAACTTGACTTGGGTGCCTGGCAACTTGTTCACGCTTACGACCAGTTGTTACGCATCTGGCAAATGTGTGATTGTCCTTTGCAATCTTCTCTGCTGGCTTCCCCAGAAAGTCAGTGGGGAAGCTGGCAGGGAAGCTGGCAAGCTGAGGGGACTCCCTCTCATCTCTGGGAGCTGCCTGCCTGCTGGGGGATAATCTCAGATGAGATTTCCAACCTGCAGTGAATTTCTCCTCCTTTCTGTTTTCTTTTGGACTCCAGAAAAGGAGCTAAAATAATCAAGGTTTTAAAATTTTCAGGAGTTTAGCTCTGTTTCTGCAACCAGAAGAAGGGTTCTCCCCTGCATCAGATCTCTTCACCTGAGACACCTTCTGCTTAATGACCTAGGATATCACTTAATGACTGCAACCAGGGAGTGCTGGGATTGCAGTCGTTGAATGAAGCAGTCATGTGGTTGTCTCACTTGATGACCCTTTTGCTTAATGACCGAGATTCCAATCCCAAGCATGGTCATTAAACTGAAGAACTACATGTACTCTTTAAAAAAAAAAACAACTACTTGTATTCCAAAAGAGAGAATTAGAATGGAGGCTCACTTTTTTCAGGTTTGTGAACAATTTCTTCAAGGTCCTTTATGTTCTTTCTGACTGTTGAGATCACTTCAATATTGAGCGAAGCACAAATCTTGCAGATGTAGTCTATGGCCTCACCTATGTTCTTGGCACTGCCAATGCCGGGAGAAGCGGTCAAGCCTACAATCTGAATAATTAAGATACATTCACATTCACTTTAAAGCAGAAGTACCACACATCAATTAAGACACTGAAACATGAAAAGAAACAGCAAGAGATCCCTTGAAATCAGAAGAGAAATGACCTCTTCTTAACCTCATTCAAAGAAATACCAGTACTAGGATGAAATAATTACAACTGAAACATAAAAAGCATAATTACATGGTATTTAGAAATTAAGTTTTAGAAGATGTATATTTTTCCTACTTTCAATCTTGCTTCTCATTAAAAACAATTCCAAATTGACCTTGCCTCAAAACATTGTGGGTGCTCTACCAGTGAAAGTTTTCAAAAAGACTGGACAACTATTTGTCTGAAATGGTGTAAGGCAGGGGTGTCAATCTCACATCGTCACAGTGACGTCACGTGACATATCAGGACTTTTTTCCTCTTTGCTAAACTGGGCATGGTGTAGAGTCTCATGCTTAAGCAGGGGGGGTTAGACTAGAAGCCCTCTGAGATCCCTTGCAACTCTATTATTCTATGCTATAAATCTTACTGTTATAAATCTTGAAATAGGCCAGGTCAATAAAGAGGAATGGTTGGAATTTCTAGAATGCTCTTTATTATTGTTGAGGTATTTTAACAGAATCTTAAAAGCCTGCCAGACTTTCTCTAAAAATCAAGGTGGATTGTTTTGAGCTTCTTTCACTTTCACACTTTCTTCTTTCCCGGGAATATTCTTTTTTGAAACTCTTCCTCCCCTTGCCATTCCCAGCATCCAATCTACAGCATATTCCATCGCATTTATTTTCACTTATTTAAAAGGGCAATACATTTCTAGGATAAATCACAAAACACTGCTAGTTGCTGGATCAGATCATCAGTTTCTAATCCCAGAAATTATTAGACTTTTATCCTTATAGCCATCGGGAGTCAGGTACAATTCAAAGGTGTGTAACAACAATATTTCTAATTGTTGGACTTCCGGTTTGCAAGGCTTCGGCGGTGGCAGGAATCCGCGATCGTGCGCGGTTTCTGCTGCGCTCGCCACTGGAGTGCCCCCGATCCAGCCGGATTTGGGGGCTATTAGTTACCCCATAGAGGTAACTGAAGACAGGAGAGATCCGGCAGGGATCCGGGGGAATTGCAATGCCCCTCCCCAGCTGGCTTAACTCCCTTTTCTGAAAGCGGTGGAGCGGCGGTCAGCAATGGTCACCACAAAGAAGCTTTCATCCGGATAAGAATGCGCAGGAGGAAGCTGAAAAGTGAAAGTTTTTGGGCTGACCGGGACAACAAGTAGCATTTAAATACCCTGGAATTTAAACTTCATTAACATCGTTCCCAAAGAAGATCGGAAAAAGTGCTGAATGAAAGTAGAAAGGGAAAGTTTGTTTTTTCTCACTTTCCTTCCTTATGGTGATAGCAGATGGAAATCAGAAAAACCCGTTTTGGCATCAGCAGGTAATTAAATTGGAAAATTAAAGCCAAGGGGACATTAAAGATTTCTGAACACTGGAAAAAAAAATTTTTTTTGCTATAAGTGGGAAGGGAGAGGAAAAGAATTAATATTAAGATTTTGCTGGAGGAGGCTGCTTGGAATTTATAAGACTAGAGTTAAATTGTAACAAGACTTCTAAAAGATATATTTTGGAACTTTGCTACTGAATTATAACCCCAGGAAGAGAAAGTATAAAAAGAAGAAAGTCCTAAATGAAACAGTCTGTGTGTATTTGGATTGCTTGGTGACTTTGGGACCTTTGGAAATTATTATTTGAAAGACTAAAAACATTTGGGTTGTTTAAATATTTTTCACAATGGCATTACTTGTTGATGAATTGAAAATGGAATTTAAAAAGCTTAAAGAAGAGGAACAAGAAGGGAAGGGCTCTTCTGGATCTGTTTTTCATTTTTAGAAATGGTGATTTCTACCTATCAGAAACTACTAGAACAAGAAGATTGGGATGAAGAAGAAGCCATCTTTAATGAACAAGCAACTCTAGCTGGGGAAGAAAAGGGAAAGAGGGGAAAGAGAATGGAGAATTTAAGACTTAAAAAAACAACCAAAAAAGGGAAAAATAAGGTGAAAAATCGATACAATGTCAGAAAGCAACAGAAAAGAGGAATACAGAAGAGGGTGGAGATTAAGAGGGTGGAGGTCAAGAGACAAGGGGGTAAAAAGGCTAGATTGGAGAAGAAAGGAAGGGAAAAAGGGAAGAGAAGTTACAAAGGTTTGAAACAAGATGTAAAGAAACAGGATTTATTCAGAGATAATGGGTGAAAATATAATTAAAAAAGAGATTCTGCAAAAGTACATAAGATTGCATTGTTGTATTTGTATTTGAAATAATGTTAAGAAAACTGAAACATTATATGATTATAAAATGGGATAAAATATTAAAAGGAATATGTAAAAGGCTTAAGATTTAACGATAGAGTTTAATTTGCTATGGATTATTGTTTTAATTATATTATAAACTTATTATTCTTTCTTATTTTAAAATATAGTACGTAGCTTTAGAATGTACTAAGCAGAATCAGAATGAAAATTATATGTTATTTTAAGTGTTAAATTTAGGGGAAAGATATAAAGGCATCATACTTCAATCAGTGATTACAGGAGAAATTTTGTGTTAATGAGAAAAGATAATAGATAATTGAAATAGAACAGACAAAAGATATAAGTATAATGATTTAAATTGAGATGAAATAAATAAAACAGAATTAAGAGAGTGAAAAGAGGGGAGAAGCTATATAGAAAATGTAGAACAGTAAATAAGATATGAAATGGTATACAAAGTGAACATGAATTTGATTTATGTCTGTACAAAAAGATGTAACCCGGGACTAAGCCGCTTTCCAAAAAGAAGTTTTGTTTTCATGTTTTGTGTTTTGTTTGTGTATGTTTGTTTATTGAAAACTAATAAAAAATTTATAAAAAAGAACAAAAAAAACAGTATTTCTAATTATTAGAAAGAATTTATAACAATATTTCTTGAATATGTATTCAAGGGGTGGACAATTAGTCCTCCAGATGTTGCCTAATTACAAGTTCCAGTGCCTTTGATCATTAACTTATGGAATTAAAGTTCAGGAATATTTTTGGAGCGATATTTTGCTCAGCCTTGCTTATGGCTTATCATTTGCTTAATATTTGTTGCTATTTCTTGTTAAAACAAGTATATCAGCAATAATATATTTCAGAAAATAAGGCCTAAGCCTGCTCAAGTGTTGGAAGCAGAATGATGAACAGATCAATAATTGAGGACACCTTTTGAATGCCAAGTTTGGCTTTGTGTTTATTGACTGTGTTTATGATACTGGAATAACACTGCTGTGGTGGGGTATTTTTCCTAAAAGTCTCATCTAAAATAACTAAGCAAGTACATGTCTTTCTATGTGCTTGGCACCACAATGTGCATTACTTATTGAACACTAACTGCATTCTTTTTGTTCATGGATTAAAATTCACCAAAGTCCAATTTTTTCCCCAAAGTGAAGCTCAAGTGATCATTAGTTAAGAAAAGAGTGGAAGACAAAGTGGATCTCTACCACAATATTGTCAGACTAAATGACTCCTAGAGTACAGGTGTGCATGCTATCTTCTTGAGAGGTTCAACATTTTCTATGATGGGACTCCTCTCCGGGGGGATGAGTCTGCCTACTGAAATGAGGTGGATTGGTTGCTTTCGTGGTGTGGAGACAATAACTTGGTCCTCAACACCAATAAGACCAAGGAGCTTATAGTGGACTATAAAAAGAACAGATCAGACCTTCAGACCTTGCTTATCAAGTGGCCAGTTTTAAGTTTCTGGGTGTTACCCTAAAAGAGGACCTGACCTGGGGTGCTCACATTGCAGCCCTGGTCAAAAGGGCCCAGCAGATACCTGAGACTTCTCAGAAAACAACAACTGAATGAAAAACTGCTGGTGACCTTCTACCGCTGCACCACAGAGAGTATTTTAACTTACTGCACTTCTGTATGGTTTGCCAATTGCACAGTGGCAGATAGGAAAGCACTCCAGAGGGTTAATGTCATTGCCCAGAAGATCATTGGTTGCCCTCTCCCCTCTTTGGAAGAGCTTTATAACTCTCGCTGCCTTAAGAAAGCTCAAAACATTCTCAAAGATCCATCTCATCCTGGGAACCTTTTTTTTTTTTTTTGAACAATTACCATCTGGCAGACAATACAGAATAATAAAAACAAGGACAACTAGGCTGAAAAACAGCTTCTATCCCAGGGCAGTAGCTCTTTTGAATTCTACTGTATAGTGCAGTATTGGTGCGGTGTGTGGGGGGTTCGGTTAAATGTGTGGAGGGTGAAGGATGTGTTTATTTTTATGGTCACGGTCACGATGTGCACTGAAGATGCTGTTTGATTTCATTGTATGAGGTGCAATGACAATAAACTAAACTAAACTAAACTGTACTGTCTTCATGTATTAGAAGAGGATACACAACTTACTAATAATGACATATTTCTTTTACCAACACGAGGAAGCTCCCAGTATTATCTTACCTGAGGTAATGAGCGTGCTCCTTGCTTCAGTTTAAGGTCCAAATACTTGAACATTAGCACATTATATGGGTTATTCCCCGTAGTGTTGTGGCACTCGTCGAATATCATCAATGTGAATGTTGAAAGAGAAATATTTGTCCCCTTATTATTCAGAGAGTTCAAAAGAATCTGGGGCGTCATGACAATAATATCATTCTCCTGAATAACTATTTCTGCAGAAGTCGAGGAAGCATTTTCTCCACAGATGCCGTCAATTTTGTAGCTGCAAGAAAAGAGATAGATACTTCTCAGAGCACCATCAATCTTGTTTAAGCCTTCGATCTAAAACTACAAAATTAGAAAAAAATAAAGAGAGAGGTCATCCAATTTCCTAGACACTCACATAGACAAATACACTCAAATACTCATAAATTGGTCATATCTGAGAGCTCTTTTTTTAATTGCAACATACACATAGGTGCTTATCACATTGTACACATTACAAAGCAAGCTGCTGTTCCAGACACTGATTTCAAAGTAAGCAAGGGTACTAAATTTCATCCTTGAGATATGGCAGACCATCTTTCTATAGAGCAGGGGTCTCCAACCTTGGCAACTTTAAGACTTGTGGACTTCAACTCCCAGAATTCCTTCTTGGCTGAGGAATTCTGGGAGTTGAAGTTCACAAGGCTTAAAGTTGTCAAGGTTGGAGACCCCTGCTATAGAGCAGAGGTCCCCAACCCCCAGCCCGCTACCAGGCCTTGAACCTTTCTGAACCAGGACAGGGAAGTGAGAGGCGACCACGTGTGTCCCTGCCCCTTGTGCAAATGGAGCTATGCATACAGGCATGCTTGCCTGCTTCATGCGCAGGACTTATCTCCTCTCTCCCCCACTTCCGCTCCTGCACCGGCCTACAAAGCTGAAAAGATTGGGGAACTCTGCTGTAGAGCAACAGTCTAAATCAATGGCTAAAAAATGACACTTATTGCTATTATTTTAGAACTAGGAAGCAACAGGAAATCTGCCTAGGACAGACTTAAGATCATACTCAGTTTTGAAGTGTTCCTGGAAGACTTTCTTCTGTTGTTCATAAACTGGAACTTTTGTAGCGAGGAAGACTACTTTTCCTGTCTGCCCAGCAGGTCTGTTGCAGAGATGATGCTCACATATCATAATAGACACAAAAGTCTTCCCAGATCCTGTAAAAAGGAATAAAAGGCTGGTTGGACGCATTTGGAAGCCATGGGCTGAAAATCTGAATGACAAGCTGGCAAATCCATAACAGATGGTCCTCTCACATAGGAGATCACAACTGGGACTGGAAACTCCAACACGGAAAATCTCTTACCATAACAGGTTTATTTTCCTTACAGTTATTGAATCATTACAGGTGTTAAGCAAAACATCGTATCACGGTGATGTGATGATTTTATTTGCTTATTGCAAGCCAGTTGAAAATCACACGATTAGTGTCTGTGGGATACTGTGACAGTTATAAATAGTCACAAAGTTTGTTTGTTTTTTAATGCCATTTTACCTTCCAATATTTGCTAAACAAGGCAGATGGTAAGTGAGGGCTACCCATACTCCCTAGTCATTAACTTACATGACAATATTAATATTCCTTTCTAACCTGTTCCCTCAGCTGTAATATAATGCCATCTTTAAAGGTTGTGCCAAGATGATGTTTGTGAAGCACCATTTAAGTATTATTTACTGTTTAGTATTATTGTGTATAGGAATCTTTTGTGCATATTTTCAAAGACATTTTCACTAAAACCATGTTCGGCTCTTTAATACAACACAAATTATTCAGCATAAAAAGGGATGTTCAAGCCTAGATGGTATGGAAGAGTGAAACTTGGAATCCCCTTCAGCTTGGCAACAAAAAATGAGCCATCTGTCATTGACCCAGTGATTCTCAAACTCAGCAATTCTAAGATATATGGATTTCTAGCATGCTAACTGGGAATTCTGGGAGTTGAAGTCCATGCATATTAAAGTTGCTAAGATTGAAAAACACTGTTCTATCTGAATGAGTAGCAACAGGGACATATATGGAAATACGTGCTTTAAAAAATATGGGAGACGGGAGCAACAATTTTAGGTGACAAAAATGGGTTTCAAGAAATGTAGATAAAATAGACGCATATTTTACAACAGAATTTAAATAATTTTCCTTCACTGTCAAGTCCATTATTTTATGAAACGTTGATACTGTAAACAGTGCAGTACAAAAAAGAGACAGCAAGTATATGAAGTTTTCTTATATAATATGAACCCACTGACCTCCCTTGCCCATGGCATTTGATCTGACTGACTGATCAGGTCAAGCCAGAAATAAGCAGAGATTTCCTGATTTATTATTGTCCCAATACTTTCAAATTATTCTAAATGAAAGGGGGACATACACCCTTTTCTGAGCTGAGGACTGCAGTTGATCTGGGAGTGATATATCAAAGACCATACCACGGATGTCATCTGTCTGGTTCAGACATTTTGAGGAAGGCCTACTGAAAGACCCTTGTGGGAATTGGACAAGATGACCCCATATTATGGAACATGTCATCTCTGAAGAAATAAGAAGATACCTTTTCCTCTTATTCATGAAGGTTATTCCAATAAGCTTTTGACTACACTGACTGATGCCTGTGGTTTCTCCAGATATTGTTATTGTTTGTTTTAATTGATTATTACACTATTCTTCACAACTTTCATTTTTATTCCACATTCTACATTGCCCAGTCACAAAATTGAAATAAACTAAGCAAATAAATGGTGCTCTTCCTATTTACCCACACCTGTACCCATACACACACATACAGTGTACATACATACCGTAATTAAATATGATACAAATTTCTTCTTTCTTACATAAAGGATAGAAGTTGGTAGATGCTTCCTGACAGCTTCCCACAAGAAAAGCCAAAGGAGAAGCCAGCAGGAAGTCAGAAGTTACTCGCTCCCCCAATCTTTTTTGGTCTGCCAGTCATCATGTTTATCTATTTAGGTAAGCAAATATTGACTTATTATTTAAATTTCTTTGCCACGACAATTATTTTTCCTATTATAATATATACTCTTGTTAGATGATCACAGGACTGTCCAGCACTGGGATTAAAAAACATATGGTGACCCTAAAATTTAATGCTAATTTCTTTCACATAAGACTGCATTATCTTCTTCTTAAAAGATGACTCAATGTATCACAGGGTTGTCTGGTATTCCTATAAAGGGATAATCAAGGTTTGATGATGGCACTGGCAAACCATTCAGATCTCCATCACAGCAGGAGGAGAGAGAAAAGGAAATTGTAAACGTTTTCTTCTTATTTTCTTATACATTTTTATTTTGGCCTTTCTTTAAAAAAGTTTAAAATAACTTTCCATTCAAATCAGCAAGAAGCTTTCTTCTAGGTGTAACTGTAGTTCCGAGAAATACGATCTTACCAGTAGGGGCACAAATCATGGTGTGTTTGCCATTAAGAGCAGGCTCAGCAAGTTCTATCTGATAGCTCCTTGCCTTCCTCGGCACATATCTGGTCTGCTGGAAGGTATCTAGAAGAATAAGTGAACAAAAGCACATTGAAAAAAATGTAACATATATAAAATACAACATATGTATGGAATATGAAAAATAGAGTATCTACTATAGCAAAAGCACTCAGACTTACATACTGCTTCGTAGTGCTTTACAGCCTTCTCTAAGCAGTTTATAGTTGGAAGTTACAACAGCACTGAAAAAAGTGACTTATGACCATTTTTCACACTTTGGATGATTGCAGCATCTCCATAGGCACATGATCAAAATTTGGACAGATGGTAATTGGTTCATATTTTAGACGGTTGCAGGGTGGGATCAGCTTTTGCAACCTTCTGACTAGCAAAGTCAGTGGGCAAAATTTGTCACCTTATCAAGGCTGCTGAAAGTAATTTTCCTGTGAGGAAGAACCATAAGATCACTTGCTCTTTGCAGTGATGGTGTCAGCTGGTAATTTCTGAAGAACCTTCTTCCATCATAGCTCACCATTATAAAAGGTAACTATTTTTTTAAATAAATTTTTATTCTTTAAAAAACAAAAAATACAAAAATCTCATTTCCATTAACAGTTATTGTGTCAATGTGTATACATGTTTCTTGTTTTGTGACTATACATTATTTTTATCTTTATTCTTCACCCATTCGTACCACCTCTCCCATATCGCATAGTATTCTCGATCCTCTTTGTCTTTCAGTTCAAAAGTGATTTTATCTAGTTCAGCACAGTCCATTATTTTTCGAATCAGAACTTCATCTGGTGGTATTTTATCACTCTTCCAATTTTGTGCTGAAGTGATTCTTGCTGCAGTTAAGATGTGTATAATAAGGTATCTTTTATCTTTACTCAAATTCCCTATAAAAGGTAACTATTACGGATAAGTGTCCAAATCTATCTTGGTTTTCTTTACCCTCTGTATGTTTTGTTCTTTTTTGTGAATTTTAGACTGGCACAAAACTGATTAAAAGCAAATAACCATACATATAAAGTTGAAAACTTTTGCATGCTTGTGTCATTATGTACAGTGGTGTGTGAAAATGCTTATAGGCTGGGTGAGTTGGTTTAAACATGGAGGCTAGATCCTGAAATAAAAGTATGAAGTTCTTTTTGTCTGATTCAAGGGGCGGAAATTGCACTTATGCCCCATGTTCAGCTGTCAAAAAGTAACATTTTTCAAAACAAGAAAATACCCTGCAAGCTTTCTAATATAGTCCTGTGACAGACACCTCCCAGAGAAAATGCTGAGGTGAAAATACATAGAATCTGTGCTAGGTACACTAGTCTCTTGGTTCATCAACCATATTTGTGTTCAAGCTATTTCAGAACAAAAGCCTTCACTGGCCTGTGGCTGGTATTTCAGACTATGTTAAAGGTAAATTTAATCCTTTAAAAATAAATGAGTATTCTTTTGGTATTGAACCATTTCTATGTTTAATCACATTACAAAATGCCACAATAACAATCCACTAGGGGCTATAGCAGGAGTCTTCAACTTTAAGGCTTGTGGACTTCAAGTCGCAGAATTCCTCCTCCAGTCATGTTAGCTCAGGAATTATGGGAGTTGAAGTCCACAAGCCTTAAACTTGCCAAGTTTGAAGACCCTTGGGCTGTAGGGACAACATTGAAATATTTCAAAAAATGTAAGTACCGCAGGCATCACCGTGGGCACCTGGTCATACTCCTTTGCCCTAAATAAGAAAGTGACAGAGAACTTTTGGTAGAACAGATCCTTTTCTTGAGAAGCTACTAAACATTTCCTAGAAGAATGCAGAGAATTGAACCCAAGGCAGTTTTCCACTGTCTTACCTGAAGCTGAACATGAACTCTCACAAAGATTATCAGATTCTGCTTCTTCAGAAATCTGTATTTGAAAAACACCGCTGCTTTCATCATTTCCCATTTCAACGTCTGCATTATCATCTGAATGTGACACAGAGAAGTCCGTTCAATGTTTGCATTTTCATTACTATTTGGCTTGGCACATCTATTGTAAAAGCACTCCTCAGATATAAATGAAGGACAATATGAATAGGAAAGAATATATTGTTGCACAGGGGTATATTGAACATCAATGACTGTATAATAAATTCATATTCTGCATGTTGTTGGGAACAGAATGTAAATATGTTCTAATGAATGCAGAAGCACTGCAAGTTGCCCATCTTAAACACTGTGGAAAGACCTATCTGAATAATCTTGCTCAAGTGACAACATTTCTACATACTTCATTTGTTTATATAGTCAGTGTATTTCTACCCCACCCATTTCACTAAGTGATACTAGTTGAGAGATTGGAGAGGAAGGGATTTCAAGAGTAAGCTGCTTTCTTTTCTAGACATCAAAAGCAGTGTGATTATACAAATAATGGGAAAAGGGCAGGTAAGGAAGTGATTGCTTACAGAAATTGCTTGCTTTTTTTCTACCCCCCCCCCCCATTCTGCCTCCCCACATATAGTGAAGATATCGGAGAGGAAGGGATTTCAAGAGAGTACTGGAAGCTATTTGTGTAATGCGCCTGTGTCTTCCAGCACGAATGCATTGCTTTCTATGTATATAAGGCAGTGAACAAGTACTCTGAGCACCCCAAAGCACAGGGGAATAGTTAGGAAGCAAATAAAGCCAAAGGTATGAAACTGAATCTATTGTCTATTTCTAGCCAGAAATTACAGTTGCAGTAATGTGATTTCCCACTCAGGGACTGCTCCACTTAGTGGCAGAATTGCAGGTCCCAGTTAGACTTTTTAAGTGAGGACTACCTGTAACAGCATGACAATGGACGCCTTTCCAATTTTAAGGCACATACAAGCTAAAACTGAGGGGTTTCGATCACCCGATTATGACCATTACTACAGACACACCCCACTGACATCCCAAATGGTGATTCTGCCTCTCGTAACTTCCTCTATTCTGGAAGTCTTCCTAGAGAAAGAAAGAAACTGAATGGAGAGTAAAACAAAGATATAACAATACCTCCTTTCAAATCCCACAGTTTGCCATGACCGTCGTATCCAGCCTCATACAGTGCGTGTTGGAACATTTTAGGCCAATGTTCTTTGTCTGATCGATACAGGCATTCCACCAGTTTGCTTGCACTTGCTCTTCTCCCCTTATTGCGACTAATCTGCAAATCAAAAACAGGAGGTAGAGGGGAGTACTTATTTATTGTATTTCAAAACTCAAAATATTCACTTCCACTCTTCTTTATGGACTTTTTCCATAAAACAGAAAAAAATGAAGAATTTGTGGCTATAATTTGTGTTTTTGAAGATTAAGGGAAAAACGGAATAGAAAAGAAAGTTTTCTTTTGTAATTATAGCGTAGGAGATAATTTTTGTAAGTGTACTTATATTTGTTGCAAAGGAAACAGGAAGGTTTTTATGTCTTTTTATCCTTTCTTTCTGCACCTTTGCTTTTCATTTTCTTCTTCCTTGCTTCCACTCTTTATTACAGCCTTGGTGGAGCTGTGGTTAGAATGCAGTATTGTAGGCTGGCTCTGCCAACTGCCAGCAGTTCAATCTTGACCGGCTTGAGGTTGACTCAGGCTTCCATCCTTCCAAAGTCAGTAAAATGAGGACCCAGATTGTTGGGGGCAATATGCTGACTCTGTAAACAGCTTAGAGAGGGCTGTAAAGCACTGTGAAGTGGTATATAAGTCTAAGTGCTATTGCCATAACGTTTACAATATTCAGAACCGAAATAATTGCATTTTTTTGCAGGTACAATATTTCTTCAAAACTTCAAAATGCTGGATTTGCCAAGTCATGATTGAAGCGGTAAATTAGCCTGAGTGCTATTGCTATTAATTTGAGTTCTAATATTCTTTGTAAAACTTTCAACAACATTTTATGAAAATAATATCAGAAGATACATGCCCAAATACAGTGGTTGCCAAACAGTGGGCTGGGGACAACTGGTGGTCCGCAAGAAATTTTGGTGGTCTGCAGATAAATGTCACCTCCAAAGCACCCACCAAAGCGATTTATCCAGGCTGTGAGGGAAAACAAGGCTGCGCCACCCACATGGCCCACGGGAACACAAAGCTTGCGTCGCTTGCATTGTGAACAACACAAGATAGTGAGGGGAGGGGGGAAAGGGCAGAGGGGGGGTAACTTGCCCCACTTGCCTCACCTGGCCACTGGGCTGCTTCTTTCCACTTCTTTCTTCTTCTGCTTTTGGCTGCATGCAAGGAAAGCAGCAAAAGTCTTTCTTTCTCTGCCCTAAACTCCGCCAGAAATGAGTCTTTGGGACCTGCAAGGCATCCTGCTCCAACAGGCTGTGCCGGCATGACAAGTCTCACAAAGATTCATTTATGGTGGAATTTGGGGGAGAGAAAGAAAGACTTCTGCTGCTTCTGCTGCTTTCCTAGCATGAAGCCAAAACTCTCTCTCTTTCTCTCTCTCTCTTTCTCTCTCTCTCTCTCTCTCCCCCTCTCTCTCTCTCAAATAAAAAATGATCGATCGGTAGGAAAATGGGGTGGAGAATTTTCCTGCAGACTTTTGGAGGGATTTTCCCAGGGTCTCTGGTCCGCGGGATTTAAAATTATGAGTTTGGTGGGCCCCGAGGTCCAAAAGGTTGGCGACCCCTGCCCAAAATACAAGTAACTAAATGCAAGAAAACATCAATGATTGGAGCAAAATTCAAACCTCCTCTCCCAGAGTAACAATAAGAGAATGAATAAATAAAAAATAAATAAATTAAATAAATAATACCTGATGAATTTCTTCCCATTCCTGAGATTGGAGGCATTCTCCCATGTAGCCTTGAAGTTCTGTGACGTTAATATCCTGAATAGCGGGCTCAATTCGTTTCAACAGTTCCCTGTGAGGTTCCAAACTTTCAATTGTCTTGAAATCCCATGTTTCAATTGCTTGATAAAGGCCAGTATAGTCTTAAGAAATAGAACAGAAGGTACAAATTTAAATTAAAGTGGCAACTGACTAAAATCAACTATAAGCAACAGGTGATTTATTTGATGCCTTTCTCAGTTAGTTTCAGCCCACCCCAAAATGTGGAAAAATTATGCTGAGAATCCCTACCAATCAAGTTTGGTAAGAAACTCCAGGTCCCCATAGACTCAGAAAGCTTTCAAAGACCTTTACCTCCCTGCCTAAATAAATATAAATACACACACCCACACACACACTTGGGACTAAAGGAAGGAAACAACTTACTGGAACAATTGAACTTCTGAGTGTAAGAAATGATACATGACATTTATCATTGTAAATATCTTATTAACTTGATGTTCTGATTTTGTTGGCTGTGTTGACTGACTTCTTTAAGCTATTTAAAGTTATCCAAAATACGCTTTTTCAGGAGGCAACTGGACTTTGTTTATTCTTTTGAAGACGTTTCGCTTCTCATCCAAGGAGCTTCTGCATCCTTTTAGCGGGTCATTGAAGCAGAATGCAGATTACCTAAAAGAATGCAGATTACCAGCTGTCTGCAAGGAATATAATTCCTTCCATTCCCCACCATCCTGTCAGAGCTGAAGAAGCTTCTTGGATGAGAAGCGAAACATCTTCAAAAGAAAAAGCAAGAAAGTCCAGTTGCCTCCTGAAAAAAACCACCTTGGGGACCAGTGGTGCGTTTCAAAAACGTTTACCACCGGTTCGGTGGGCGTGGTTTGGTGGGCGTGCTTTGCGCATGCACCAAACATGCATTTTGCGCAGGTGCAGAGGCTTTCCAACTCACCTCCTGCAATCTCCCGGTCACTTCAGTAGCTGCCGCGTGGCACTGCTGTGCCGCCCAAAGCAGCTGCGCTTCAAAAGCAGGACATAAAGGTTAGTATGGGATCCCAGGAATGTAAGGAATCTATCCACCAATTAGTTGGGTTGGCAATATATAAACCAACGTGTGTTTGTAGCTTTAAGACAAAATCACTGTATTGATTTATACTATATTCTGATTGATTATATTGCAAATTACCATAAGAGGGAGCTAGAGATCATAGCTTGCTCTCTCTGACATTCTCTCTCTCTGACATTCTGTTGCTATCGAAGGTTCTCTGTTGTATTTATGCTGTGCTTATACTTTGATATCTTTGTTTACTGTAAATGACAAAGGCAACCGGTAAGAAGACTTTGTAACTGGATATTCTTTGGACTATTAAACGTATATGACCTGGACCGTTTATTGGACTGTGCTATTTCTTAAAGTAAACTTTAACTCAACTTAGTATATCTGTGTGTGGCTGGATAATTATTCATAACTACTCTCATAAACGTTTCCATGTGCATATCCTTGTTACTCAAGGGTTATTCTGTACATATCATAACAAGGAGGGCAGGTGGGCCCAACAGCAGAGCATTGGAGAGAACTGGTTCGGTCACTTCTGCTCATCGGCACTACCGGCTTGGCAGAACTGGTAGAATACCACCGTTTGGGAAAACCATAACCTGGATGACTGAGAATCTCTACAGACTTCTATTTCAAATTAGTTGCACAGAAACAGCATCGAGCTCACAATAATAAACCAATAACACACAACATAGTTAAAACAGTTGTGTCTGATCAGAACAGCTGGGCGAAGGATAGTTTGTTTTTAAAAAATTAAGATTAGGACAGAATGAATAAAGGTTTCCTGCAAGCCAGAGCAGCCTCCTGTAGGCTGCAGAAGCCTGTCAACACAAGAAGAACAGTGCATGAAAGTGAGCACGAACCGCAGATCCTGGGGGTGCTGAGCCACGGGGACAACTGCATCGTTCCCCAGGATTCATAGTGGCACTAGGGCTGACGTTGAGTCCTCTACCTCAGGCCCAGACTTGGTGGAATGGGACAATTTGCTGTGGCCAACTCACTGGGGCCCACTCACCATGGCTAACTCACCATGACCAACTCACCATGGGACAATACAACAATTCAATTTAATTATTTAAAATAATTACAAAAATATTTAAATTTTTGTCATTCACAATTTCATCTTGTCCTTCCTTTTGCATCCTTTATTTAGTGAATCTGTTCCATCATTTCTTTCTCCATCATTAGCTTAACTCTTGTCCCGGGGAGAGTTGGCTGTGTCGAGTTGACCGCAGCGAGTTGGACCAAGCAAGATAGCTGTGTCGAGTTGGCCACAGGGAGTTGCCCTAGATAGATCCCAGCCTCGGTGCTCCCAGAGAGTGCCACTGTTGAAGGTGGCCTGGGTGGTGTGGGGGGGGATGGTGTGGGGGGAGATAGAAAATATTTTTTTCAGAGTAGCCAGCAGAGTCAAGTTAAGCATTTTCTGATATTTTTGACACACCAAGCCCAAAAGGTTGACCATCACTGATCTAGCACATGCTTTATTAGGTATGCCCAATGATGAAATAAGTACGTCCTATGCAGAAATAGCCCCTGAATGGCTTCTCTTAACATATGAAGGGACAACTACTATTGAAGGCCTTGGCACGAATTGGTAAGGAAAATTAGCAACTTTAAGCTTCTTAGCACCCTTGAGATCCTGGTTACTTGCATGGGATTGCAAGAAGTTAGTGGCTCTGTTTCTGGAGAGGTATCTTCAGTAATGAAACAAACTGTTGGCCTTTGCCGAAGGCCTTTGCTTTGCAGGAATGCAATCTGAATTCTTTGAGGCAGGACTAGTCTCTGAGGAAAATATACCAGGTGATTTCCTGAAATGTCAAGACAATGGTGTAGGGCAGGGGTCCCCAACCACCAGTCCCTGGACCAGTACTGGTCCGTGGATCATTTTTTACCGGGCCGCAAAGCTTGGGCACCGCCATCTTGTTTTGACGGCACTTCCGGGTTTTCGGTTGCTTCCGGGTTTTCGGTTGGGAAGTGCTTCCGGATTTTCAGTTGGAAAGCGGCATTTGGCTGCTTGCGCCTTAGTTTCATCGAAGGGGGGGCAGCTTTGAATGAAGAGCCATCCCAATGGCGGTGGAGTCTCGTGTTACTCAGGTACCGGTCCGTGGAAGAATAATCGTGAAACCGGTCCCTGTTTCAAAAAAGGTTGGGGGCCACTGGTGTAGGGGAAGCATGTTGCTCTCCAAATACAAGCAACCTTAAAGCACGTTGCAGCCCACTGAGTTTCTCGTTTGTGCAACTCTGAGCATTTTATCTTTGGAAGAACTGGTGAGATTCTCTCCCACAGTGGAAAGCACAAAAGTCACACAATTTGCTTGGTGTTCCTGATCGGAGGTATTTCCTAAGCTCCATAATCAATATTTGCTTTTTTTTGCCGATAGAGCCATTCTCTTCTCTTCTCTGAGATAAAGAAAGGATTGTTTTTCCCCTGAGTAAAGGAAATTCTTTTCGTTCCCAATTGCTAGATGTTCCCCAAAATCAACAGCTTTAACAGCTTCTCTCCACCCAAAATTATCCCTAATTTCACTCTCACAATGGTGTTGTTTTTTTAAAGCAACAGAACACATGCAGTAACCCTCAAGTTGGGTAGTGTGCCTACTTTATTAATTTAAACCACATTTATCTGGTAAACGTTATCTTAAAAATGAAGAAAACCCCAGCTCCTAATTCCAGCTTTCATTTCCAGCAAATTTACTGGATCACAGACTCCCAAATCTGAGTTTGAAGGAATTTATCAGCTCATTTGCAGAGGCTTTTGGAAGAAGCCACCTTTCAAAAACAGGATATTTACATGTCAACGAATAATGTGTTTCATGTCTTATAACTGAATAGCATCCTATATATATATATATATATATAAAAAAACAGAACTTTTTGAATAATTCTTTTGCATGGTATCCACTCAATGAAATTGCAATTGTTTACATAAAACCATTGATTGGAGTTTTAGAGGGAGAAGGATTGTAGTTTAGCAATAATAGTAATAAAGCAATCATACCTGATGCTTTCAGCGCATCAAGAAAACCACGGAACCATCCATCCTCCTTGAGCTGTAGAATAGACTGAAGAAAGAGTTCTGCTGCCTTGGTTGGCCGGTTGCTTTGCTCTTGGATTTGCTCCACAGCCTCTAGAATGAAATCAGATTGTAGACAAAACTGCTGCAGTAAATTTCTCACCTTAAGATTCAAAGCAAAACAATAGGCTTTCAAAGTAAAGCACCTTTTCCATTTTAGCTTTCCAAGTGCCCATGGTTCTGTTTGCCACATACCCAAAGGCAATAATATTTAGAAAATGTTTCTCTGTGTGCTTGCTTATTGAAAACACATTACCAGTAGTTCTTACTTATTGATTGCCTCCCATTGAAAGTTACAAGTACTGTCCCTCAGAAATGTGATTACCGATACAGTCAATATTCATCATCGTCCTGGACTTAATACGTTGTTTTTCTTTTCCCATCTTCCTTGTAGAGTAGAGAATTGGAAAGGAAGTGATTACAAGAGAATAAGCAGACGTACAATGGGGAATACATATCAAAAGCAATGTGCTGGCATTGGCAGCCTCTAGCACACTATGCACACAGCCCATATATTCCCCAATGGGTGTTTACTTACCCTTTTGTAATCTCATCCTCTCAATCTCTCTACCTTGTGGAGAGGCAAAGCCATTTTTGTAAGCAATCTCTCCTATGTGTGACTTCTTTCCTGTTTGCATGCTTTCCCACTCCCTGGTAGCAATCAGCCTTGTCCAGCTGCACTCATGAAGGGCCAGTTTAGGCACATCTCCTCAGCAGTGGGAAGAAAACAAGAACAAAGGTCAGCTAAGGATGGCAAGAATCCTGAAGGATTCTTGGGGAATAGGTGAGTGAATAACGTTGAAGCGTATCGTGAGGTTAATGTGGGTAGATTGCCGAGTGTTAAATTTTGATCCCTTGGGATGCTGCGACCCACAACTTCAAAGACCAGGCAATAAGTAAGATTTGTTCAGCACCACCATAACTTCAAATGCTTGTTGAATGGTCATGAAGCAAGGATTATCTGTAACATTTTCTGTATCTCTTTGTCTAGATCAGGAGTGCCAAGGCTTAGATCTGGCCGGGGGGCCACCCTAGAAACAGCAAATGACTGGGTTACACACACCTCCAGAGCTCCGTTTTCACTGGCAGAGGGCACATATTGCCAAGGACTTTTTTTTTACAAATCTATACAATCAAGAAGAAGTACCAGAAGAACTTATTAATCAATATCTGAAGGAAAAAAAATTACCAGAAATTATGGATGAAGAGAAATGCATTTTAAATAATAAAATACTCACAGAAGATATTAGAAAGGCAATTGGAGCCCAAAAACTGAATAAAACCCCTGGCCCGGATGGAATTCCATCTGAATTCTATAAGGAGTTTCAAGAGCTACTGGAGGAATTAATGACAGACCTATATAACGAAGCCTTGGATAGTGCTAATATACCAAAGTCATGGACTGAAGCATATATAACCCTTATTCACAAAGAGCAATCAGACCCACAAAAAATTCAAAATTACAGGCCAATATCACTTTTAAGCGTAGATGACAAGATTTTGGCCACAATAGTAGCGGAAAGATTAAAGAAAATATTAAGTAGGATTATTCATACTCACCAGAATGGCTTTCTGCCATATAGACAAATGAAGACAAATATAAGAATAATTACGGATATTTTAGAATTCTACGAAGTACACACAACTAAAACAATGGCACTGATGTTTTTAGACGCTCAAAAGGCTTTTGACAATTTGAATTTGAATTTTCTTATTAAACAATTGACAGGCATGAAATTTGGCGACAATTTTTTACGATTCATTAAAACAATATAGAATACCCAAACTGCAAAAATATTAATAAATGGGGAAAATACAGATAATATAAAGATAAATTAGTGTGTAAGACTCCCCTACTTTATATATTAGCAGAAGAGACACTACTGGTACAAATCCTACAAAATCAAGAGATCAGGGGTTAAAAGTTAAAAAAGAGGAGTATAAACTTCAAGCATTTGCTGATGATATAGCATTTATAGTGGAAGATCCCCTGGAAATGACACCCATTTTGATGAAAGAAATAGAACAATATGGAAAGGTGGCAGGGTTAAAAATTAATAAAGAAAAAACAAAGTGATAACAAAAAACTGTACAAATGAACAAAAGGAAGAACTAACAAAGAGATTAGGGATACAGGTGGTAAATAAAGTAAAATATCTGGGGATAGGGCTGACAGCTAGGTGCTCGTCAATTAAAAAAGATAATTATGATAAATTAACAATTCAAATATTTAAAGAGTTAGATAATTGGGCTTAATTACAAATATCTCTATTAGGCCATATTGCAATAGTAAAAATGAATATTTTGCCAAAATTGTTGTTCTTATTTCAGACGGTGCCAGTCAAGTTGGAAAAAAGCTTTTTTAAAGAACTTAATAAACATATCCATATTTATATGGCAGGAGAAAAAACCCAGAATAAAATATAAATTACAGGACAATTGAAAGAAAGGAGGCTTTGGTCTTCCAGATTTTGAAACATACTACTATGCTGTGATAGCAACCTGGCTCAAAGACTGGGTTAATTTGATAAATAAAAGGATCTTAATATTAGAGGGCTTTGATCTCCAATTTGGATGGCACACATTTATGTGGGATGGAAAGAGTAAACAACATTTGTACTTTCAAAGGCATTATATAAGGAGTGTGTGTTATTAACTATTTGGTAAAAGATAAAAAAAGTACATCACTGTAAGGTCCCACTGTGTTTATCTACAATGGAGGCAGTTACACATCCAAACGTTTTAGATTATGATAATACTGTAAGATATAAAAATCTATTACATCAAACCAGAAAGTTAAAGGGTAGGAATCAAATACAAATTCAAGGAAAAGAGATAGCATGGTGGCCCCATGCGCAGATACAAACTCATTACAAAAAAGATCAAGAACATTTTGGTTTTAACATGACCTACCAGGAATTAGATAAAATTTGGCATGGAGAGGAAAGGAAATTGATTAGTAAAATATATAAATATCTATTGGATTATAAATTAAAAGAAGAAACGGTCAACGAGTGTATGATAATTTGGGCAAAAAATGTGGGCCACAGTATTGAATTAGACAAGTGGGAACATATTGGGAAATAAATTACAAACTAACTATGTCAGCCTCGTACAAAGAGAATCTCTATAAAATGTTGTAACATTGCCACTTGCCACCCCCGAGACTGGCTAAGATGTTTCCGAACCTGCCTCCAAACTGTTGGAAGTGTAACTGCGCCCAGGGAACATACTTTCATATGTGGTGGACCTGTCCATATGCTCAGAAGTTTTGGAAAAATATCAAAAATTGGATTCTAAATATAACTAAACAAGAAGTAAAACCTGAACCTGAAACCTTTTTGCTGGGTATGATAGACTCAAGAATAGAAAAAAATATATCAATATTTAATCTTGCACATTATAACGGCAGCCAGAATAAGTTATGCTCAAAATTGAAAACTGTCTATTGTTCCTTCAGAGGAGATGGTCATTAAAAAAATTCACGAGTGTGCAGAGATGGACAGCCTAACCAAATTACTAAAAAACAACAAAGATAGTGAATACTACAAAGTTTGGAACTGTTGGTATGAATGGTTGAAGAAAAAGCAACATTTGACAACTGAATAATTTATGAAACTATGAAGGACGTGCGTTTAATCATAAAGTATTCTGTGAAATTAAAACATTAAAAGAACGAGGAAGATATTGTAACAAGGTAGATCAAGTCAATGTTATGGGGTAAAAGAAAAAAAAAGAAAAGAAAAATGTAACCAGTGCTCAATACCTGCTGCAAAATGTATATATGTATATATATATATATATTTGTTTATATGTTTCTTCTTAAATGTTTTAAATATATGAAACTTAAATAAACTTTATTTTAAAAAAAAAATTTTTTAAAAAGGAGTGTCAAGGCTCAGATCTGGCTGGTGGGGCCACCCTAGAAACAGCAAAGGACTGGTTTACGCACACCTCCAGAGCTCTGTTTTCACTGGCAGAAGGCAGCAGGAGGCTGTCATGGCTGAAAATGGAGCTCGGGAGCCTGTTTTCTCTGGCAGAGGGCTCGAGTCACCACAGGCGTCCCTGACACCAATGCCATTGAGCTGGCCACGCCCCTCTGGGCCTGAGGTCAAACACAACCCTGATGCAGCCCTCGCTGAAATCGAGTCTGACACCCCTGGTTTAGATAATGGGCGGTTGGTGTTTTTCAGCCTGGTTGTGTTAGACCTAGGGAAGACTAATATTTGACCAGCACAGGAATCTCTTCATCTTCTCCATCACACTCTCTTAGTTGTTATCAACGGACGAGATTTTACAGCCAACTACAAAGTACGTTTGTCCATATGACCGAGTATGTTTCTTCTTCTGTATAAGACCAAGCTTTTAAAATGACTTGAATTACTTGCCTGACAAATGCATTACTCTACCAAACCTTTCTTCCAATTGCTGAAATATATAATTAAATTAATCCGACACAGTGACAAATCTATTCTATGTTCTTGTTGGCTCTAGTATTTTAAGTCTTCATTAACATAACCAATATATAGTTGTCAAGGTTGACTCTGGGCCAATGAACCCCTCAGCCTAGCTATTTCATGGGGTTGTTATTATGAGAAAAAAATGGAAAAATTCTATGTCCATACATCCTTGTTTTCCTGGAGGATAAACGAGATGAACTAAAGCTAAACTAAAAATCTTTGCATGCACAGACTAGGATGAGGATTCATGAATTGAAACTGGGATTAGGTACTCTTGTAATGAGAGACGGGAGCCAGTATCTATGGGATCTTCTGATGATGTCTATGGCATGGGAATGACTGGGACTTGAGAGAAAGAAATGAGAGGAAGAGAGGGGGATAGAGAAAGAGAGGGGAGAGGAAAGCAAAGGAATTAACACGGTACTTTGACACAAAGGGTATGTCATTAAACATAATTAAACTAGCTCAATACCTGTGCTTCACTATGTGACGGGGCTTAGTTTTGGGGGAGGAAAATAAGGGGGGGGGAATTGTGACTGTGCCTACCAACATCCATTGGTATTCATCTGAATAGTGTCCTGTCAGTGTGTGAAAGAGTTGAGGGCTGTTTGAAAACTGAAGCAGTATTTGCTGTGTGAGCAGGGAGACAGCAAGGAACCTGGGCATGGCTTAGCTCAACTGTTCTGTACTAAAGCTGCTTAATACTGTGAAACTGAAACGCCTCTCCTCTGCTTGTGTTTTGCATTTGGAACAGATTTATTTTCAGGTGGGGAAGGGAAGTAGAACCCCTTAGCATCAGAGCATGTTAATAATAATATATGAACTACTAATGCTCTGATGGTCATTTTGAAAAATCCTTTCTTAGTGAGCACCTAGAAGCCAAGAGGAACTTAGGTGCCAAATTTCAAGTTTGTAGGCTTTACGGTTCTGGAGATTTTGTGATGATGCATTGAGTGGTATTTTGCTTTTATATATATATATGGATTAGAAAAATTTTAGTGAAACTGAATCACTTTTCACTTTTGTTTGTTTTCTAACATCAATCCTTTGAACCTAAGGGTTCTGAATGAACCTGGCTTGTATTTAAAAATGAGTTAAGTGTTATGAAAAGAATGTGGAGAGAATGAATAAGAAATAGATTACAAATAAATATATGAAGGGAGACCGAATGTGACCAGAGGAAACCCGAGAACACCAGAGAGATGGAAATGCTGGAACCCTCATGGCAGAGGTAAGTCTAAAGAATATAAAAGGAATGCATGAAGCAGCATATGAATTGGGTGAAACTAAAGATGATTACTATCAGAAGGTCGAAATTTGTTTCAGAGCTCTTTATCGAGATTGTACACTCTGAAAGACCGCGACTTCGTGTAGAAAATGCCTCAATCTCGTTCTCTGTTTCTAAGAATGAAATCGACTCTGGATTTCCAGACAGCCAGTGTTTATTTCGCCTCCAGTAGAGGACGAAAAATTCTGCAATTTTCAGACAGGGAGTTAAAACAGGAGGCAGGACACGACCACGCCTTGAGGGGTTTTAGCGCCATCTGCTGGCAGGATTCATGCCCCGCCGCCACAACTGCTTTCAGCCAAGAGCGCCCCTGCTTCCCCCACCCGGTTATCAAGAAAAAGAGCATGCTGGGTGCGGTCCCGCTCCTTGCTGGGAGAATATACGCCCCCTCCATTATCTCGATGCAACCAACCAAACCGCTTGCGAAGGTGGCCTTGGAAACCCAATGACGAACGCCTTGCCAATGTTGCATACAGCAAAGCCGCATCTGCCAACTCGAAAGTACTGTAGAGTACACGCAAAGCCGCCGCAAAACGCGTGCAAGGAAAAATGGCTTCAAACACCTTTCTGAATGCCCGAACCGGCTTTAAGGCTGATGTCTCTTTTCAAAAACGAGAATAAGAACGGTGGGCGAAATAGTAGTGTAAATGACTTTCGGGTTCTTTGCTGAACATTAGCTACGCCGAAACCTTTTGATCCTTTCAACGACTTGCTGGTTCAACCATCACCAACCTCTTCTGCAAAGGCATAGCCAACGCCTTAAAGGCAGGGGTTTCCAACCTTGGCAACTTTATGACTTGTAGACTTCAACTCCCAGAATTCTTCAGCCAGCAAAGCTGGTGGATTTCAACTCTCAGCATTCCTCTGGCTGGCTGAGGAATTCTGGAAGTTGAAAGTCCACAAGTCTTTAAAAGTTGCCAAGGTTGGAGACCCCCTGCCTTTAAGTGAAATCAATATGTCAGTAGATCTGTGCTCTTAAATTATGTTGCCTTAATTAGCAGCCGAGATTGTGTGAGAAAGACGTATTTTTAAAAAACAAAACAAAACCCAGTAAGATTCCTTAAAAAGATGTCTTCGGCTGGAGTTTTGACTTATTCATTCGGATTCCAAACATCACTAGGAAGTTTCTGGTTAGCCAGCCAGGTAACCTCTCCCTGTCATTGCAGGCAGGTGATCTGATTCTTAAGTCAACCAATTAATCGACACGCCTGGTCATAACATAATTCACGGGGGGGGGGGAGGCATTTTTCAGCTCATCTGCTTTTCATTTGGGTATCTGTTTTCCCCCGTTCCAAACATCTGAACCGAATAGTCTCCAAAACATCTGGAGAGCGCCAGATCATGCGCTCCTTCTAACGTCAGGAACGGCCACGGGTATTCTGGGCTAGATGACACGGAGGGTGTCCCTAAACAAATCCCTCATCCTAAGTGTCAAATAAAATGCACCTGGTAAACCACTTCTCCCAGTCGGATCGGGACGTTGCATTGGATGCCCGATGCTCAGAGTAGATCTGCGCTTTATGTAACACTACAATTCCTAAAGGGCGTCCAGCTGGGGACATCAGAACAAAACGTGACTTCGATAGAAAACCGGGCTGATTCCTACTTACCGTCAGACAGCCAGGTTTTCATGTAGCTCAATATATAAGCGGGATTCAAAGTCTTCACTATATAGTCCTTGCAGCGAAGCAAATTTTCTCGTTGGATCTCGGTCATTTTGCCTCGTTCTTCTTAAACCTCTGGCTTTGCAATGGCTTTCCCCCCCCCCCCCTTCTCGTATTCCGCTTTTCTTTCAACCCTGCCCACCAAAAAACCACATTTAAAAAAAACATTCAAACCCGACCGCAAAGATCGTCTACTCCGTCGGGAAGCAGCTTATAAAGTCCCCTCCCGAGGCCGGGCCAGGCCGTCCAATGAAAACCCTCCGCTTCCGACCGACTTGAGTCTTCAAGAATCAGCCGACTAGAAATAAGAAACGAAACTGAAGGAAGTTTCCCAAAAGCAGGAAACGCGAGCGGAGAAAACGGAGGAAAAGGAAAGTGAAACCGAGTGGCGGAGGCGCCGTTGAGCAGGGAAACGAAGCGGAGCCTTTTGTCTTTATTTGGATTGGTCTCCGAATTGGCTGCGGACAGCTTTAGGCAAACGTGGCCGAATCAGAAATCAACTAGGCCAGAGGTCTCCAACCTTGGCGACTTTTAAGACTTGTGGACTTCAACTCCCAGAATTCCTCAGCCAGCAAATCTAGCTGAGGAATTCTGGGAGTTGAAGTCCACAAGTCTTAAAAGTCGCCAAGGTTGGAGACCCCTGAACTAAGCTGCTGTCGTGCCAAAAGAGAGTGGCCGGCTGGCCGTCACAACGATGGCCAGGTGCGAGTTCCTCCCCTCGCCTCAGCTGGGAGATGCTGTAAGCGGCAGTTCCCACCAGGGCTGTCTTAAAGCATGGGCCTCAGGAGCATAAGGGCCCCATACTAATCTCTGTACGTTAACCCTTCAATGCACCTTGTCTCATATAGATACAGCAACATGTTTATTACATATTTATTTGTTGGAAGTGCCAATCAAATAAATACATGCTTAATTTTATTGACCATTTACATTTTTATTCCTGTGGGTAGTCGTAGGGGCCCCAGGTCATTGCTTTGCCTGGGGCCCATAGTGATGTTAAGATGGACCTGTTTCCCGCCCTGCTCTAAGAGCGCTTTCTGGGCTGCACCCCAATATTTTGGACCCCAGCTCTCCAGTCAGGATGGCCAGGGATGGTCAGCTGTAATTGGAGGTGTGGGGGAGTGTTAATGTCCCCACAGTCTGAAAGCCGAAGGTTGCCTGCGTGATTCAACGCCCCCCCCCTTCCCTCCCAAACACTGAAAAGGGGGAGGAAAGGGGGGGGGAGAAGCTGCTCTTCAACAGATAAGAGGTGTGTCCATATGTGACCCAGAATACAGGTAGTCCTCGACTCAACGACCACAACGGAGCCCAAGGTTTCTGTTGCTAAGTGGGGCATTTCTTAAGTGCGTCAATTGCCCCAATTTACAACCTATCTTGGCACAGTTGTTAAGTGAAACACTACATCTGGTTCCCCCATTGACTGCTCGTCAGGTCGCAAAAAGGGATCGATCACATGACCCCGGGAAACAGCAACCATCATAAATGTGAGTCAGTTGCCAAGCATCTGAATTTTGATCAGGTGACCATGGGGAGGCTGCAATTGGTTATAAGTGTGGGGGAAAAGGTCATTCACGTTTTTTAGTGCTGTTTTAACTTTGGTCACTAAATGAACTGTTGTAAGTCGAGGGCTACCTATAACTGTTCATCACAATTCTTACTCTTCTCTCTCGCACATACATAATAATTAAACATTTTATTTTAATTTCGACCTGCTTGGTTGCCAAATTTTGATTGCCTCTTATCTTCATCTGCTGAGGGTTAGCTTAGGAATGCGGAGTCCTGATCCTATGGGGGCAGATCTGAAAGCCTCTAAGAAAGTACCTCTAGGGGTTGGTTAGTGAGGAGCCAGACGATTTAAAGCACCATTTCGATCTGTATCAAAACTGCCCAAGCCTTCTTCGTATTAGCCAAGTAAATCTACTGGTGTGTCACCAGAAGACAGAATTCCAAAGGTGAGGAATTCCAAAGTAAGACATTTCCAGAGACGGCCCTTCCCTTTGCAACCACAGCCACTGCGACCTGCTGATTAAAACACCTGGCTAGAAAGTGGGAGGCTGTGAATTCTAATCCTGCCTCAGCCATAAAAGCCAGCTGGGTGACCATTGGCCAGTCACTCTCTTTCAACCTAACTCACCTCACAGGATTGTTGTAGGGGAAATAAGAGGATGGAGTATATTTTACAGCTTTGGTTTATAAAAATAATAATATAAATAAATAAATTCTTGTTTCAAGGAACATGTGGCTCCACTCCAGGGCCAGTGAAGGAACCATCCAACCACCCCCTCCATTTAGGACACAGCCATTCTTACCAGAAATCAGTCTGAACTTGTTTTAATTTATCCCATCCATCTAGCTTGCAGGCTTCAAATAAGGATCTCCATAATATCATCTGCTCAGTTCTAGATGGAGATATATAACTGGGAATCATCAAAATATAATCAGTTATGATTGTTGGAATATTTTTCTTATGTGTTTACACTAAGTTTAACGATCAATAGAAGATTGTAGAACTGCAGAAAAATTAATTGCTACCAACCTGCCTTCCACTGAGGACCTGCATTCTGCACGAGTCAAAAAGAGGGTGTGAAAATATCTACAGACCCCTCACATCCTGGACATAAATTGTTTCAACTTCTACCCTCAGAACGACATTATAGGGCACTGCACACTGGAACAACTAGACATGAGGACAGGTTTTTCCCAAATGCCATCACTCTGCTAAACAACTAATTCCCACAACACTGTCAAATTATTGAATAAGACTGTATTACTATCATTCTTCTCATCCTTCTTATTACCTATCTCTTCCAACTTATGACTATAATCATGTTGCTTGTATCTGTACAATTTATATTGTTTTATTGTTCCCTAGTATGATTTGATTGCTTATTAATAATCCATGACTAGTGTTGTATCTTATGATTCTTGATGAATGTATTTTATTTTTTTCTTTATGTACACTGAGTGCTTATGCACCAAAGACAAATTCCTTGTGTGTCAAATCACACCTGGCCAATAAAGAATTCTATTCTATGCTATTCTATTCTATTGTATAGATAGCAGCAATTCCATTTTTAAAAAGTCTCCTGTCATTAGAAATAAATGACTACGTCACATAGAAAAATCTATGTAGAGAGAGACATACAGCATATGTATCAGAAGACAGATATGTAGAAAAAATAAAACATTTATATAGGCATTGTGGCTAATGATATATAAGGAAACATCTATTTTAGCAGAATATGAAAGGAAGGAGAAAGATGTCCATGCCGGTAAAGTATGAACCATTTTAATAAGCTAACACATTTCTTTCTATTAATAATTAGTTCAATCTTTATACTAAAACCTATAAGAATTCACTCTTGAAGATTCCCTTAAAGGTAGGCAGGTTGGGATTTTTTAGACCAGAGGTGTCAAACTCAAGGTCCAGGGGCTAGATCCGGACCACAGAATGCTTAGATCTGGCCTGTGGGCCCGCCCTGTAAACAGCAAAGGATCTGGCCTGCGGTGCCTCTGCCAGCAAAAAGGGAGCTTGGGAGGGCTGCCTTCCTGGGCTCTGTTTTGGGCCACGACCAGAGGTGGTATTCAGCAGGTTCTGACCAGTTCTAGAGAACCGGTAGCGGAAATTTTGAGTAGTTCGGAGAACTGGCAAATACCAGTTACCTCTGACTGGAGATTTTAGATCCTTCCCCTGCCACACCCACCACGCTACGACCACAGAACTGGTAATAAAATTTTTTGAATCCCACCACTGACCACAACAGCCTCCTGCAACCCTCTGCCAGCGAAAAAGGAGCTTGTGGAGGCTGTGTGCGGCCCTCCTGAGATCCGTTTTCACTGGCAGAGTGCTGCAGGAGGCCATTACAGCCCCAAACGGAGGGCCATCGTGGCTGAAAAGAGAGCCTCAATGAGTGACATCCAGCTGGATACACCTACCCAGCCCCGCAAGGTCTCAATGAAATCGAGTTTGACACCCCTGGTTTAGACTGTCAGCAGATGTGGGGAGAGAGGGAAGAGAGATTGGGGTGTGGAAATGGAACGATCATGCGTTGCCTAATTGCAGTCATTTAATCAGTTAATCAATTCTCAGGCTGATTGTGTATCTCATTCTGCTTGACTTATCTTGAACTGCTGCCATGTATATTATATAATCAAAGACTAGCATCCATATTTATTAACACAATTAAACTCCTAGTATCAAACAATTCAGATGAAACCTGCAAACTGTTTTAAAATTCCTTATTAAACATTGATTTTGAAAATTTTTGCTAGCCTCATCCAACAATGATTAAACAATAGTCAAAAGATGAAGAGATAGATGCAAGCATTTCATAGTGACTCATCAGTACCTACGTTACAAAATTTGCCTCAAATATAAGATGTAGCAAGAGCATTAACTAAGCCTATAACACCATATGCAAAAAAGCAACCAATGACAAGCCTTATGCCCATAGGAGGTGCAGATTACACAAAGACAACCAATGGCAAATCTTACGCCCACAGGAGGCGTAGATCGACATAAAGCTGCTTCTGCACACATAAGGGAGGCCATCCCAGGTGTTTTATTGACAGGCATAGTAAAATAAGAGAACCAAAGTCAAGAGTTCCAACTGCCAGTAAAAAAAGGAGGTATTTATTGAGCTGCCCTTTAAGGAGGATCAATTAGCAGGCTTGATGACTTGATTAAAACTCCTTAATTGAAGCAACATTCACTAGGGCTGAGCTTCATATATTACATCAAACCCAGAGGCTACTGCTGCCCCTAATTAAGGAAGGACAACGTATCAACCCCAAAACTCATTGTGTTTACCGATTTATTTGTAATTGCAGAGACAATTACATTGGCAGAACTGATAGGTGTTTGTCTTTCAGAATAAAGGAGCATCTTCTGAAATGGGTCCAGAGAGTCTTGAGTAATCCAGCAGCAGCAGCAAATTATGGCCATAAAATGCCTTCTTTGGCCATTGCAAGATACTTTCTACAGGCCATCAGGCAGGGCCAACTTAACAGCATTATGGGCCCGAGGCAAAGCAATGTATTGCAGCCCCTACAACTACTACTCTCAGGAATAAAAATGTAAATAGTCGATAAAATTAAACATATATTTGCATGTTGGTATTAATTAAAAATGCAGTAAAATGTAATAAATGCTGCTGTATTTATATAAGGTGC